TCCTCTGGGGAGCTGCAATTAATAATTAATTCAGGACATTCTCTAAGAAATTCTCAGTACACATAATAGCATTTTTAAGCTAAAAGAATTTTAAAAGACTTATTCCAAATTTCTGATATAACAGATTAGGAAACAGAAGCCAAACTTGACATAAACAAGGAGGTAGATTTGAAAATACATGATTCATGCGAGCCTAATTTTTTTTTTCCTTCTTTTGGTGGTACTGGGGTTTGAACTCATGGTCTCACACTTGCTAAGCAGGCACTCTACCATGTGAACCATTCCACCAGCCCTGAAAATACATAATTTAAATAGGAAAGAAAACTCTTCTAGGGTGTGTCATGTGTTTAAATTGCCTATGGTTTGAGTACTTTGGACAAGGGGAGATTTATTTTTGTCTCTATGTATATAAGAAAATTGGAGGAGGAGTGGGTGCTGTGACTGAAGTGGTGGAGCACCTGCTTAACAAGCATGAAGCCCAGAGTTCAAACCCCAGTAACACCAAAAAATGAAAAAGAAAATGGGAGGACAATTGATCACTAGTGAGCTTGTTTTTATATGTCCAGAACACAGTGCACTAAGGGAGGGGTGTTTACAACAGCTGTCATTACTTCTGACAGTAGTGCTCAGAATAGGTAGGTAGGATTTGTAGTACCAGGGTGGTAATCTGAGTTACGTATGTTACAGGATGTTTGTGGAAATCATTTTTCAGTTTATTCCAAATGCTTAAATGGTTTTAAAAATCAATTTGGGAAGGTAAGACAAGAACTTCCAGACTAGATCTAGACTTCCAGCATCTGCCTTCTCAATGACACATTAAATCATTACTTTGCCAGAAGGTAGTGCATATTTTAAAAATCTATATTAAATTGTAAATTAAATCATGGGCTGCTGTTTAGTTGTCTTTTAATGAAGCTACTAATATTATGATACTTAAAAACCAGTTATGACTTTTTTTGCATTTATCTTGGAAATCTAGTAAAGCTAAATCTGCTTTGCAAAAACATAAGCCGTTCTGTATTCTTGTGCTATTTATGTTTTTTTGATAATTAACTACAATAGATATTCTTTGCGAAATGAATATTTGACTTTTACTTGAAAAACAGGCCACATAACACACATTTGAAACTAGAAAGTCTCCATGTTGGATTGGCTTAAAATATCATTGGAAGCAAAGTCTGTCAACACTATTCTCAGTGTTTCTTTTAGTAATAATACTTCATTGAAGCCATTATTGTGCTCAAAGAAAGAACGACTTAGAAACGCAGTTGGGAATAGAGATGTTTTCATTTCTGCAAACCTCAAGTACCCATTATTATGAAGAAATAGTGATTTTAGTGAGGTTGACTTTAAATTAGTGCTGGGTGAATAGTTCAGAGTGGGAAAAAAGCCTCTGAGGCCATCTTGATTTAATTTACAAGCCTGAATTTAAGAAGAAATGTATGGAAACCAACCTGCATTTAAATGGGATGGGTATGAATTGTTGGCAGTCTTAAAACCTGAAATGTCATGTTATAGAATAAAAATATACACGTGCCATGCTGTCATCAGGTTTTGATGATAGTGCTTCTAGGACAGCTATATTTTCTATACTTTGTTTTTTCAAGACTCTTCTTTCTCTGTATTATAGGTCTTCACCTAAACACTTACATTTAATTAAATTCTTTAACTAATTACTTTTAAATTGTCACTAATTAATATTTGTTAAACAAATGTTTAACAAATTTAATTAACTAAATTTAGTTGCATGCCCCTTCTACCTCAGTTATTGTTTATGCAGTACTGGAGCTTGAACTCAGGGCCTTCACCTTGAGCCACTCTACCAGCCCTATTTTTGTGAAGGGTTTTTCAAGATAGGGACTCACAGAACTATTTGCCTGGGCTGGCTTTGAATCTCGATCTTCCTGATGTCTGCCTCCTGAGTAGCTAGGATTATAGTTGTAAACTACTGGTGCCAGGTCTACCTTAGTTCTTATTTTAAAATACTATATGAACTTATTTTATAAATATTATAGTTTATTCAATATATCTCCCTCTCTATTTTCAATGAATTAAACAAAAAACTTAAGTCATGCCTTAAAAACAGTTTAGCCATAGTATGTGCAGAATAAATGAATTTTAGTCCTCGAAGTGATCTTTCTGAATTACCTTGTATTTTAACTCACACATTTTACAAATAAGAAGTTAGCTTATAGAATATGAATGATGTATTTTAGATTTTATTCCAGTTGCTGTATAACAGATATATAAACAAACTTGAAATAAACAGATTTGTGAGTTTGGAACTAAAAAAAGAAGGTCCATCTTCAATTTGTATGAAAAAAAACCCTGAAATCTAACATTGTAGAATCATGTGTAAAACCAGCGTAGATTGACCTTCTGTAAAGGTCTTTACCTTCTGTAAAGGCCTCTTCTAGGGCCTCTTCTGCTTGGTCCTCATTCAGAGTCTCTCACGTACTACTGAGCCCTTAACTGTTGTTCCCCAGAGGTGCACTCACAGGACTCCTTCCTGGGCTGGAGCATCTCACACAGCTGGCACAATTCGTGGTGTCTCTTTGTGTGGTCTCTCCACATTGACTTCTGCCACCTCTTCACTATGGCTCAATTCCTAATTTGTTGACTCAGATTAGTCAAGATTTGTCTTGAAAAGAGAACCTGATAAAGCTGTATTTCCTAACCTAGCTTTTTAGAAGTCTCCAGGCCTCATTCCATTTGTTAGAAGTGAGACACTGTCCAGCTCAGAGTGAAGGAAGAGAGGGGAATTTGACTGTCTATACCTTTTGTAGACAGGGATTTTAAAACCACCACAGTGGTTTCTAGGCTGTTTTTAAGGTCATTTAGGATCTATTTATGATTTTCCTCTGGTTCCTGGCTATCCTCTAAACCTAAAGGTACTGGATTACAAACCTATGGATAAGTGTAGTTTTGCTTATGACTTAAAGGATTATGCAAAAACCTGATTGAAGACAAAATTTTGTTTGTCAGTTAAGGACAACCTATTTTCTGACTGGAAGCCTATTTATTTCTCCAACTTTCTGGACACAAACAGAAATCAGCATTTTGGCCATTTTTGGGGACTTCATCCAAATGGATTATTTCTTGGAAAGATGGCAGCAATTTGAATTATATCTTTGTATAATAAATAAAATACATAATAAAATTCAGTCAAACAAATAATTGATAGCATGCCCATATTGGTAAATATGAAACTGGATATCTAGAGTATGAAATTAATTCAAAATAAAAATTAAAATTTTTAGAAAATTGACTACTCTGACTGTTTTTAAATTTCTGGTTGTATATAAATATGATTTTCTGTATTTTTGGTAGATAACAGTGATGCACTATCATAAGAATATACTTTGTACTCATTTTAATTTTGTATAAATTGTTCTTCATGATTTTGAAAACATTCTACATTTTCACAATTGGAGAGGGATAAATGTTCATTTTCTTTCAGCCTACAGTCATGGGTATGTTTTTTCCATTTCCTGAATTCAGTGCAAGCAAACAAATTTTCCAAAGACTCTGGCTCTTGTGTTTCTTAATTTCTGCCTCATCTTTCTTTTTCCCTTCTGAAATACTGAAAGAGTCACCCACACTTGCTTTCTCTGATTTTCTTTCCATTTGCTTCTGAACCCTATGTGTTTTGGTTTGTCTACCTGTCGTGGATTCATTCTTAGTTATGAATTATTACTTAGCAAAACTTGTATTTCTTGACCTTTCAATGGCATTTGACTTTTTGCCCATTCTCTTCTCCTAAAATCTCTTGTTCCATCATTTGTATAATTGAATCCTCTTTAAGTTGCCTTTAACTTTGTAAATCTCATTTCCCTGGCTTATTTTTACTATCTCATTGTTTTTTCTGAAGAAATTAATCTCTGGGTGAATAACTCCAAAATTCATGTCTTCAGAGCACATAATATTTCTTTGGAAATATAGTCATATATTCTCACTGTGTACTTGGCCTGCATCTTTCTAGTGCTCATTCTTACTGAAATTGCACCAGAGTAATGCACAGAATAACAACATAAACATATTATAACAATATGTTTCCCCTCCCCTATTTTCTTTCTCCCCCGTTTTAAACCATATCAGTCTTCACCTTTTCTTTTCCCTCAGTCATCCATCAACTACAAGGAATTTAAATATCTAATATCATTCCAGTCTGTCTGCTTCTCCATAACCTCATTGTTACCCATTACATTGTCTTCGTGTTCTATTCCCAGAGCTGCACATGCCCAGCGTGCTGTAGTGATTGTGTCAAGATCAAATCTAGTTCTACTGGCATCTATGATTTTACTCCCACACTTAGCACACTGACTATTTTGTAAATTAATAACAAGTTGAATATCAAACTCATATATATATATATTATAGAAATCAGATGTATTCATGTATTTAATAAGCATTTATTAATTGTCTGGACTATTTGACAGACAAGTGAAAATAGGCCAAATATAACAGCATGAGTTAAGTGACTGTACCCAGGCAACTCACAGTCTCATGAAAGAGAAAGATAAGCCCTAACACTGCACCATAGTAAGTACCAAGCAGAGAAATATGGCATAGCTTTGTGAGGGGTATCACAGTGACTATGTTATGGAAGACTGGAAGATGAAAAGGAATAGGAGTTTGTCTGACAACTAACTGGAGGTTGTCAGGCAGTGGAAAAAGCATTAGCAAAGAATAGAGTGTTTTATGAAATGGAACCGAGACCTTACACTTCATGTGTATGGGATTTGTTGGATGTGTTTAGGGAGAGGAATCACAGAAATGTATTTGTGATCATTTTAATAATTCTAAACATTTGTAGGGAAAATTGAAGGAGAAAAAACATGTAATTAATTAGGAGGTTAGAGAAAATCTAGATGACAGATGATAACCCAGACCAACATGTAGACTTTGCAAGAACTCAGTAGTGCTACATTCTGAAGACATATCGGAACTCTGTATATGTACATTGCATGTTTGTATTTTGTTTTCGTTTTACCCTGTAGACATGGGATGTAGAGCTTGAAAGATCTGCAGAATCCTGGGCTGAAACTTGTTTGTGGGAACACGGACCAGCAAGCCTGCTGCCATCCATTGGACAGAATTTGGGAGCACATTGGGGAAGGTAGCTTAAAGTACAGCTTTTTGTTTCTGAAGACATAAATGTTTGAAATAAAATGCTTATTAACTCATTATTGCAAAATTTCAAAGATGTAGTGCCTGTGTGAAAAACAACTAATCAGTAAACAAACAACAAAAAACATATTGTACTAAAACCATCATCGGGTTTTTTCTTTTTTTCTTTTTTGAAGCCACTGATATATTAGTAATGTAATGTACATAAGTATTTAAAATTTGCTACTTCCATAGAAAGATATTTCTACCAAGTTTCATCGGTCTACTTTGAAATGTTTGGTTTTATATTTTCTCCAATTTTATTTGTTCTTTGTGATTATTTTCTTGTAATAGATACAGGCCCCCAACGTTTCATGTACAAGCATGGTATGATGAAGTGAGAGACTTTAGCTACCCATACGAACATGAATGCAACCCATATTGTCCATTCAGATGTTCTGGTCCTGTATGTACTCATTATACACAGGTATGCTTTGAGTGTATTATATCCTGTTCCTTCCTATTGAGTTGTAATAGCTACAGGAGAATACAGGCTACTGAAGGTGTGTCTTATGTTATTTGATAGTGTTATTTAAAGAAAACTTACATAGGTACTGATTACATGGAATGGGCGTATTCAAATCTATAAATAATAAAAATAATTATCACAAAAAGCCCATATATTTACTTAAAAAGACATTATTTCATTGATTTTTACATATGAAATATATTTTAATATGGCCCCAGTAAATATGTATATGAGGAGCAGTTTACCATCTTCAAAGTCACAGTTTTATTCCAAGAATAAAAATTGCCTTATTTACCAGTGACATTCAATATTTATATGTATGCAGCATTTGTATGTATATTTTTATATTCAGTATTCATATTTGATATTAGATATGTTCTGAACTTCTAAGTTAAACAATGAGAGGCAGATTCAATTAGAGGAAGCTCACTACTGATCTGAATTTCTGGAATTTCTATGACCAATTATCTGTGAATGTAAAGCAGACTTATGTTCTGTAGGCCTTTCCATGTGACGAGATTAAGACCAGCTTCAAACCAGTTAATACTAGTGGCATAATGAACAGATCCTGCTGTGGAAGAAGTTCAAGCACTTAAATTTTTGCTCCATTACCTTCTGTTTAAGATGTAAAATACTGGTCCTTTGTTAGCTGAGTTTCTTCATAGAAATGTTAATAAAACAGATGAGTGTGTGAAGATAAAACTTTTGAATTATTTAGTAAGTTTGCAGTTTGCAAATGCTGAACAGATCAAACTGTTTACCTGCTTATTTCTTTTAAAGTTGGAATTAAGTGCAACACAAAGTACCAAGAAAAATACCCTCTTGGATATTGTTCTACTCCATTTTGAATGATTACTGTTTGTTTCCCAGTTTTTATCCATTTTCCTCTCAGACACGTTTCTGTCTTACTTCATTTCAGCATGCTTTTTCTGAGCCTTTGTTTCTCTAATACAGGTGGTATGGGCAACAAGTAGCAGAATAGGCTGTGCCATTAATTTATGCCACAACATGAACATCTGGGGGCAGATATGGCCCAAAGCTGTCTACCTGGTATGCAATTATTCCCCAAAGTGAGTAGACTTTGATACACAAACTTTTCCTAACAACATGAAGACAATTTTGTCTTCCTGATTTTTTCTCATTTTCAGTGTAATAAATAAAACATATTGTTTTTACTATCTTATCTAATATGGCACTTACAATAATTTCCCAATTCAAAAATCAGTTTTTAGAAGGAATATGAAAATTGAAAATACAATTTTGAGAAGACAGGAATCTTTATATCTTCAGTTTCACTCACTGAGCTTTTCTGTTCTATAACTATTCAGTAATTTTGATTAAGGATGATCAATTATGGATTAGTTACAAAATATATTTTCATCTGTGTAAAACCATTTGAATGAATACAGTAAAAATTTTATGTAAATATTCTTATGGTCAAATTTAAATCTATTACCTGCTTTTATTAAAACATGGAATATAGGTGAATATCCCATTGTAGAGTTTAGTCTTCTTTAAAACTTTGAGTTTTTAAGTTTTAAATGTGTATATAACAATTTCTTTGAAAATTTTCAAAAGAATGTAACAGTAATCTATATTTAAACCTAGTAACCTAAGGTATTCTATACTACAACTTAAATCTCTTAAATTTAACACATCAAGATCATTACTTAGGAAAACCTTATATAGTGCTATTTTGTATCATTTTATGAATCACGCTGTTAGACTGTCTCTTAATAGAGTGTACCATTTTTTTAAGGGGAAACTGGTGGGGCCACGCCCCTTATAAACATGGAAGGCCCTGTTCTGCTTGCCCACCTAGTTTTGGAGGGGGTTGTAGAGAAAATCTCTGCTACAAAGGTAGGTGCTATCTTCTTGTAACATGCACTTTGTCTTATATTTTAATCCAACTCTGTATTAACTTGTGTTAAAACAAACAAATAAAAAAACCTAGTAAGGCTTGAGTTGTAGCTCAGGGTTCAATCCCAGAACCACTAAAACCAAATAAAATAAACCAACAAAAATAACACTGAAAAACAAAAACAAAAATAACTAACAAAAAGTACACTTAATTATTACATGAATAGTTCCCAAAATTCTCCTTCAAGTATTTTGAAGAACCCATTTAAAAATACATGTAATTATTTTAAAGTTTATTTTTAAATGATAATTATTAAAATACTAATGTTTATTTTATCAATGTGTATTTAAAGGAAGGATTCATGATTATTTCAGATAACCATTTCTAATTTTACTTTGAGATAACTCTAAGTGAAATATATATTCTTAAAAAGCCAATTCTGTTGACTAGGGTCATTTTCCTAACTGTTAGAATTTTTTGAGGAATCAGCTATTTAACACGAATTGTTTTGAGTGCTTTGAAAGTATAGACATACCTCCATGTATCTTACTGGCCCATGCTAATTTCTAACGCTAATATAACAAAAAAGTATAATATTACTATAAAACTCATAAAATTAGTGCTCTTAAGTGCTTTTGAAGTCATAAAATGTAAATATAAATATGGTGTCCCATTTATAAGTGCATGAAGATAAAATGTATGTGATAAAGCTTTGTGAGAAGTCACACTCTTGGGCATTCAAGCAGACATTTTTATTGCTTTGCATTTTTTAAATGATTATTAAATGAAGGTGGTTTAGATTGAGTGTGTTAGAAAATATTTGAATAAATGTAGCCTATTTTCAGTGCTCACAAAGAGATATGTCTTGTCTTCCTTTAATGACTGAATGTTCATTAGCTGTAATGAGCAGACAAGAAATACTCATTTATGTCACCCTGTTGTGCAAGGCATTTTTAAAGTCCTGGAAACATTTGCAGCATCTTTTCATTGTGTGAGTATATTTTTTTCTCTCTGTCCCCAAACCAGCAACCTACCTGGCCTTTATCAGTGACCACTATTTTTATTTAATGTTGCTTTCATCTGAATTCCTACTTCCTTTTTTCTAGGTTCTGAGTTCTTGGACACACATGAAAATAAGTACCTCTCCAAAATAATGAGTTCTTGATATATCCCAATCTGGAAAAAAAATAAATTGAATGCTTGCAGTTATTCTCTATTATCCAGTTTAAATTTTTATACGTTGAAGTCCCTTCTAAAAGAGAGAGGAAAATAAAACCTTCTCAAGGAAATTGTATCTTAGTCAATAACTGTGCCATGATAATCCGTCTTGAGGCCATATTTCAAATTTGCAGAATTCTAACTGGATTTGCCTGAAAATACTAAGAATATGATTCCATTTTGAAATATAAGCATAGTTTATAAATGATCCCATCAAATAACAGCTAGATGCTAACATGAGTGAATCAAGGTCCCAAAGGCTGACTTCATTTACTTTAATGCAGTACATGAGGTCATGACCTTAAGCCAAAACCTGTGCCGAAGAAGTACTGATTATTCTTATTTTAAATATTAAACATGTGTAAAAAGGCATTTCATGTTTTGATAATTTGTACTCATGCAAAATGGCATTCATATTGTCTCTCTAACAGAAGGATCAGACAGGTATTATCCTGCTCGGGAAGAAGAAACAAATGAAATTGAGAGGCAGCAGGCACAAGTCCATGACACCCATGTTCGGACAAGATCAGATGACAGTAACAGAAATGAAGTCATCAGCACACAGCAAATGTGTAAGACCTGTGCATCACTTGTAAACACTTTCAAGTTTACATAGATGGCATATCCATTTATATTTTACCTAAATGTTTTTAGAATGGAAAAAAAGCATGTCATTATAGTACCTATAATAAATTGTATAAGTTTTTATATTATCAGAATTATTTTGGTATATTTTTTTCCTCTTAGCCCAAATTGTTTCTTGTGAAGTAAGACTACGAGACCAGTGTAAGGGAACAACCTGTAATAGGTAATAGTTACCGTTATTCTCAAAATCAACTGACAAAATAGAAGAAATATTTTCATTTTGTACTGACATTCAGAGAAACTCAATTTTGTTCCCAATTGCTTTCATTTAGGTATGAATGCCCTGCTGGCTGTTTGGATAGTAAAGCAAAAGTAATTGGCAGTGTACATTATGAAATGGTAAGTATTACAAGTATAATTATTCAGGAGTAGAATCTTTCCATAAAATATTTAACTTTTTAATGTGGAATATGCAACTTAAATTAAGTATAGATGTTTTCTCATAAATGTGTATTTAATTAAAGTCATAGAAGTTACAAGTTGTGTTTATCTTATGCAGAGTTAGAATATTTTAATGTCCTTGTGTCTCTTCCTTTCCTTCAAGCAATCCAGCATCTGTAGAGCTGCAATTCATTATGGTATAATAGACAATGAAGGAGGCTGGGTAGATGTCACTCGACAAGGAAGAAAACATTATTTCATCAAATCCAATAGAAATGGTGTTCAAACCATTGGGTAAGTACCTGAATGATCTTTCAGAACAGATCATTTCAAATTATAGAAATGAGCTGGCACGTTCTTTTAGAGCAGAGCATAAAAGAATTTAATATGTGAAGAACGAAGATAATTTTCAAGGTTCATTTTAGTTACATAGTTTCCATAGATAAAATAGAGAAAAAGACATAAATTCAGAATTCAACATTTTTGCTTTATAAAAGTACTAAAATTCTGAATTTTCAAGTGTTTCATTAAAATGTACAAATTTTCAGTTAATTCTTATGCATTTTTTAGCTATGTCAGAAAATACCCAGAGAAGGTGTGTTAATTTGCATGTTCTCTGCTCTGTTTAGAGAAAATGGCTATTTCATGCAACAGTAACCTTGCTATTAAGATTAATTAGTTTACTAGGTAAAAGATCGTTTTAAAAGTTATCTAAATATGTACTAGATTCTGTTGCCTTTTGTCCACTTAAGTGTAATTTAACAGAACATGAAAAGCATTGATTAACTTTTAAAATGTTCTTACATTAAGTATACTTTAATTCTAAAATACTGCACAATTTTATATATATTCTATAGGAAGTAGAACAACGTGGACTCTTTAAATATCTTTTGTGGTGTCTTTTTTCTTCAAAGTAAGAAAATAAACATTGAACCTCATACAGAAAGCTATTCTAGGAAATATGACATAGTCTCTTTCCTTTAAAAGTGTATAATTATATGAACTTCACAGTAGAATTAAGTTAGCTTTCATAATTATAAAAAATAATTTATTAAAAACTCTTACCAATTTGTAGAATGATCTTCTTTGTGCAGTTTTGTTCAAAGACCTGATGTGTGTTTTTTAACCATTAGTAATAACTCTTTAGTGAAATATCTGTTAGCTTCTTCACTCAGCAAGCATTTATCAATTCCCACCAATAAATAATTAGTGCTTATTAGATTTAGTAAACCAAACACTTGATGTTGAATTAAAGAATATTTGTTCTATTATTTACTTTTGTCTCTTAAACTAAGTTTTTATTGCCTCTTATAGAAATTCTATTGAAATGTGACATGCACTACACCTACTGAGTTATAATTGTGGTGGAGTGTGGGTGGAGGTCATATTATAGATATGATGAAAAATAATCATTGAATAAATTCGAAATTGGGAGAAATAAAAGGTTGTTGTGTTTTAGACCTTTAGTTGTGAGCTAATGTATGCAGAATATGTACTGTGTTAAAATGCAATCACATAGCAGCCTTACCTCTGTAACAGATGTTTTTCTCAAAATTTGGGTATGGAAAAGCCAATTAAATTTTTGATATATATAGTATATATAGTCATATATTCCTGCTTTCTAATAATGAATATAATGAGGAGGTTTATTCATTTGCTGTATGTAGACCTATTACGTAGCTACCAAAGCTAACAAAAAATAAATAATGTATATTCCTTTAAGATAATTACTGTTTTGTACTCTTTTTACAGTATTACCTTGTATTTACTATTGGTTCTGTGGAAACAGAGAATAAGTGTTTGAGAGTTTTAATTTTGATATGAGACAAATATGTAGGCATAATATATATTGCTTTATGCTATTTTCTGTAAATTTTTAATTTTGATAATGAAAATAAACCATACTCTAATGTTAAAAATTATATGATCTGGTTCATAAATGAAGGAAATGTGGATTTAATATGAAATAAATTATGTATTCTTACTATCACTACTTATTTAGCTATTTTAATAAAAGTTCTTCAAATTTTAAGTACACATAGACCTTCAAAGTGCCAGGAATCATGCTCCTGTAAGCAATTGATGGACATTTCTGTTTTCTTATCTTCAGCAAATATCGGTCAGCTAATTCCTTCACAGTTTCTAAAGTAACAGGTTAGTGCTTTCTTTATCTTATCCTTACTACTGTGTAGTATGTTTTTGCTTCTTAACATATTCACTTACTGTTCCCCACTTTAATTCTTCAGTTCAAGCTGTGACTTGTGAAACCACTGTGGAACAGCTCTGTCCGTTTCATAAGCCTGCCTCACACTGTCCAAGGTAAGGTGTTCTAAATTTTCTCATTTTTTTAACCAGTGAATGTAATTGTGTGTGTGTGTGTGTGTGTGTGTGTGTGTGTGTGTGTTACTTTGGGTTTGCGGTGCTTGTTTTTGCCTGAAATTCTGGTGCCTCTAAGATTCAAAGTTTTGTATGATCTTGGACTCTTGAGCGAGAGGGAGCAGTGGGACCTCACTAACTGTGTGCACTCCACGCTGTCCTACTGTGCCTTCTCTAAATGCAGAAGTATTTTCTGCCACTCCATAATAGAAAGGTTTGTGCATGTTATCTGTACATTCATATGTACTGCAAATAGTGCTGCATCAGTCTGCTTGAGCTCTTACAACAAAATGTCACAGACTGAATGGCAAAAACAAGAGAATTTCTCACAGTTCTGGAGGTCGGGAAGTCCAAGATCAAAGTGCCAGCTAACTGGGTTCCTGATAAGGGCTTTCTTTCTAGCTTATAGGTAGCTACCATCTCCTTCTGTTCTCGTGGTGGCAGGAGAAAGACCTCATTTCTTGTATGTGTTCTTATAAGGAGACTAATCTTATTGGAAAAGAGCCCCACACTTAGGAAACACTCAAGCATAATTACCTCCATAAAGGCCCTCTTTCAAAATATTGTCACACTGGGGGTTGGGACTTCAAAGTATGAATTTTGGAATGGCAACATTCATTCTATAACAAGTTCTAACAGACACTAAAATGATATAGCTCATATTTTCTAACATTGTTATCCAGTTCCTAAAGTAGATTAATTTAATTACAAGTGGTAAGTCAAAATGCCCATCTCTCCACTTTAAAGAGTTATAATAGCATTTATCTACTATTAAACAATGAAAAAAAAAAGAGTTTCATTTGTCTTGACCAAGCTAAGATGAAACTGTTAGAAGTATTATGGCCATAAGCCATAATCTGTACACAGGAAAAATGAAATATGTACCTACATATCTAGTTTTAATTCTTCTCACACTACTTTCATTAGTGCAAATATTCACGTGACTTCCAAAACCACTAATATAATTGTAGTTTGACAAACTATGACAAACTATATTTGCTAAAAAACGTAAGGTGCCTAATTTTTATGGCAAGGCTTATTTACTTTGGAAAAACCTCATCACTTACCCTTTTAATATTAAAGCAATGATTCACTTAAAGAATGAGATTGGCTGTTTACAAGGTAACAGAATCTGTGATGTTGACATAATAAGTGAATACTTCATTTTCTGTCTGTAGGGAATTTCTCCATTACAGAGATGATAGTTGCTTCACATAGGAATAGCAAATCTGCTTCCTTTTGAGAACCACATCTTTTTGTCTTTACTGTAATTCAGGAACACTGTAGTAATATTTGGTCAGCTAACCTGTTGTATGCTGAGAATTTTGAAATTCTTCAGCATGTATATTCACTGAAATTAAATTACAAAATGTGAGGAGTAATTTAAGTATCCTTTACTGTCGAAATACATTTTAGGGTTTTTTAGCATCTGAACACAAATTATCTGTCAAACGTTTTTGTTATAATAATGTAGTCTCTTGTTAGTAGACTTTTTTTTTTTACTAATTATACTACTATAAGGCTCACAGATCTGATTAAATTATGGTTTGTTTTCTAATCTTAGACAATTTCGTTGAATTGTTTTTTCAGATTTCTCATATGTCTACAGTCATCTGTTACATTTTTATAAGGAGAAGGAAAGATGTATTGCTATGCTAAGTAAATTTTAGCATCATTATATGTAAAAAAGCAGGAATTTATAATTATATATTCATAGGTATTTCTATGTATTATGGTAGGCATATGTTGCCCATATGACTAGGTTTCTGAGGACCAAAAATAACAATGGTAATCTCTGTGGAGCATTGTACAACAAAACCTCTCTTTAGCAGATTCTCAATAAATAGCAACCTTATATCTCTAAAGTTACCTTTATTAAGGTAACTCCAAAAGACAAAATTCTAGTAAAATGTTAACATTTACTATTTCTTGGCCTATTCAGGAATGAAATAGGATATAAAATGGAAGTGAAAATGATGTAAAATTTAATTTTGACTTATTTTCACCAATATAACAAATCCAGGGAAGTAATGACTTATGCATAATTTTTACCTTAAGTAATCTGGAAAGCCTCTTCCCCATGTTAACTTTTTTTAATTTTAGAAGTTGGTGAAACCAGGATTACCCGTTCTCATAAAATTTTTCATAGTTTTATAAATTATGTCATAATGATATTACTTATGTGACAGTTTATAACTTTTAGGAAACCATATGGTTAGGATGTCTGTCTTGGAATTTCATATCCCCAAGGACCTCGAGGTGTAGTCTACTTTGGAGAGAATGGAAGGAGTAAATAAATTAAAAGAACTTAGCTCAGAGGAACATGAAGAGACCAGGTTTATTTGCACAGTCATGTTCTTGGGAGGTTCATAGCTGGCAGGACACCCCAAAATAAACTGTGTCTGTTATTTAGTACCATAAAACCTTACAGAAAGTGTGTGTGTGTGTGTATGAAAGAGAGAGAGAACCAATTGGCAGTTTCTTAAACTGTAGGAATAGATTTAATGTTTTATTAAACACTAATTAATGGTCAATATATTTAAAAAAGAAATACTTCTGAAAACTTCTTTTAAATGAGCTGAGACAGTAAAACATCAGTAAGTCAGTAGGATATCTGAGAAAGAGCACTCTGTGAAAAGAGTAAGATAATGTGCCCTGAGATAGGAGCACATTGTTTCTGTTTGAGGAATGACCAAATGACCATTGGACAATGTGCCTGGAGCAGGGTGAGAAGGTACGAGAAGAGCAGGATATAAAGCTAAGTAAGGAGGCTACCAAATGTGCCGTACTTGTTCTAAAGATCCTGTCAGTTATTCTCAATGACATGGATGCCACTAAAATATCTGGAGCAGAGGAATGCATGTTTGAGCTTGTATGTTTCCCCACAAGTGTGTGGAAATAGATTGGAGAGGGCCAAGTCAAGCAGGGAGATCAAAGAGAGCCTGTTGCAGTTTATTAGACAGTAGAACAAAGAGGCCAGAGATACAGCGTTTGATGTGCTTAGGGATGCCCTGATCTCAGATATGTTTTAACGTATAAGTGGTAGAAATTACTGCTGGTTTGAATGTAAGGTGTGAGATAAAGGAAGGGATAAGGGTAGAATAAAGGTTTGCAAATTTGGAGCTCAACTTTTATAGATAATGATTAAAGCCATAAAAAGATGCAAAAGTTGTGAACGTAGTGAAGAGAAACTATCAGGTGAGACAGTGACTCAGATTTTCCAAGTTTACTAAATCTACAAACACACAGAACCAAATTCTCAGATGCACAGAGATGCCTCCTGATGTTTTTTCTTTGACACTCCAAGTTAGAAGGCTCCCTGGCTAAATTAAAAAGAAAAAAGAATCATATTTTTACTCAAACCTAGAAGTGGATAAAGTAAACAGAGAAATTGTGTCAGCTCCCTGGCTTGTGCAATTGACCCATTTTAGGAGAGAAAAAAACATGAATATGGTTTACAATGTTGAATTATTTCTATGTATGAATGCTCTGGTTTTAAGAATAAGAAAGGTTGATGTAACCAGCTTACTTTATACCTATTTTTTTTCAGAGTGTATTGTCCTCGTAACTGCATGCAAGCAAATCCACATTATGCTCGTGTAATTGGATCTCGCATTTATTCTGATGTAAGTGTCCTAATTTATATGGCTCTATGGCTCTCCATATTTGTGTATGTAACTCTATATTCATACATGTAAGTGTATACATGTGCCTTTACATACAGAGCAAGGCAGCAGTTTCTGAACTGATGCATATAGTCTCAGAAGAGTTAATCTAATTGTCAATTTAATAGAAAAATCAAGATCTACATGCAAATATGAGTGTAGAATCACTTATTTTGACTAATTTTTCTTCATATCCTCCCCATGCATCTCATATCAGACATTTAAAGAGAAATAGGCTGGAGGCATTCTTGGGAAGGAAAATGCAGTTGGCTTTTCTTTAATGTTCCTTTGGCTCGTCGCTATCTTAAGTATGAGCTGGACAATTAAGAATTTGTCAGATGTGTAAACAATATCTTCACTGCAAAAGGAGGAGAAATAACATCGGACCAAGATCAGATAATTCCTTAAAACATACACAGAAGGGAACTAGTCTGGAGCATGTTGTAATAGATGACATTAGTGGGTTGGACAAGGAAGTCTAGCTGTGATGACTTCAGTATGGATTAGTGCATTTTGAGCTAGGTTTGAAGTGCTGGTTGGTGAAAAGGATTAGCAAACACATTCTGGGCGGGGAGAATGTCATTTTCAAAGACTTTGAGTGATGCACTTCCTGGAGCATAAGAGACAGTTTTGCTTGTTTTTGAGCTGAGAAGAACTGGATGTAAGAGGGGCAACAGACAAATTAGTCTAGGAGAGAGAGGAGTCCTCCTTTGAAACTTGTAGATGGACAGCATGGATCTGTACACTCAAGATTTCAAATTTTATGCCATGGATATTTGCAAACCATTAGCAGTTTCCAAGACAGAGTCACAAAAACAAAATTAGGAAGGCTCACCTTGATGAACATATTCATTGTTGTACAACAGGAAAGGCTTGAGATATGTACATTCCCACTTCATTTCTTTTGACAAGTTCATTCAGGTTGATGTTTTTTAAATTTAATTTAATTTTCTTATTTTTGTGCTGAGTGGAGGTACATTGTGACATTTATAAAAGTTCTTAAAATATATCAAATATGTCATACTTGAATTCATCCCCTTCACCATTCTTCTTCATTCCCTCTCCCCCCATTCCTGGAAAGTTTTAACAAGTATCATTTTTCCATTTATGTACACGTGTACACAGTATTTGCACCATATTCACCCTCCTTCCCATAGGTACCAACCCCCTAGACAGGACCTACTCTGCCCTCCTGTTCCCTAATTTTTATATATGAAAAAAATGACATTTTTCTTGTTTAACATAGCTACACAGGGAGTTTCCTTGTGGCACTTCCATGTATATATGTATTATAGCCCGATATGGTTCATCTCCTCTATTTTTCTTCTTTCTGCTTTAGTCCCTTTCTTACGGTGTTTTCAACCAGTCTAAAAATTCTATATTCAGTCTTGTATAGAGAGTACATCAACCATATTCACCTTCTTAACTTCCTTCTGCTACCCTGCCTTTCTCATGAGGTATAAGTCCAAGTATTTTCCAGTTCAATTGCTTCACATTTGAAACCCCCCAATTCTGAGTCTCTCTTACTTCAGATTGGCATTATTCTTATTTGCAACCTAAATGTCTTGCAGGCAGGTAGTTGGATTTTTGCTGTTCCTCTTGTTTGTCTTACTATCTTATTTCTGTTTGAAATCATCTTTCTTGAAATTTTTCTATCTTTCAAAATCATGGTCTTTATATCCTAATTATTGCCACGTTTGCTGTAAAGTACATTGTTGACTTTCTGAATGAAAGCATGAAATCATCCTTCTTTCAACCCTTATTGCTTTGTTTTTTCTTTTAGCACTTAGCCTGTGTTATTAGGTGCTATGATTGTTAACTTATCTCTTTTATTAGTTTATAAGTTCTTTGAGGGAAGCAGATGGACAATTTGTTCATCGCCTATTGTATAACTGCGAAGCTGTGAACAAGATTGGCTTGTTCCTGCCTTAACAGAACTTAGAACACACAGTGACATCAGCCTTTGAGCAAGTACCATTTACATTAATATGTGTTGAAAAAATAAATGTGTAGAAGTGTGCATATCTGAATTCATCAGAGATTTCCAAAGAAATCATCTTTACAGGATTTCCCTTTAAGCACCAGAACTTTTAATTTTAGTCATGTCTGGTAAGATTTTTAAAATATCTTATACATTTCTATACCTTTAAATCATCTCTTGCTAATTAGGATTTTGCAAGAATTTATATCCTAAGATAATTTTATTTTCCTATCTAAATGGGTAGGTGATATGTATTATTATATAGGTCTTTGGAGAGTAAGTTGAAAGTGTAAAGATTGTTATCACATGGTAAATTCTGTCAGAGATTCAACCATTAACTACCTATCTTTCCAGCTCCTACAAAAGATATCATCTCCTCAATTAAGATTTCTATGGGAAGGTGGAAGTGAACCAACCATTTTCCTTCTTCACTCTTTCTTGCCCACCACACTTTCTCTTTCATTCCACTTATAAAATTAGAACTTGTGCATGCTACTACTTTAAATTTTATTTATAGTTTCTTACAGACTATGTTAATTTCTGCATTTGTTAAAAAATTCACTATATCTACAGATTAATTCTTCTTTCTTTTCAATAATACATACTTATAAAGTATGGATATGGAAAACAAATTCTCCCAACCTTTGAATTCAGTAGGAATGCCTGTTGCCTGCATAGTCATAAGCAAAGCAATACTCTCAAAACACAGTAAGTGCTGCGATTTAGTGACTGCTATATCCAAGCACTTTTGTTGCCTTGGGGCAAAAATGCTGGCAATATTTTTTAACAGAACAAGATAAATACTGAAATATGTACAGAATCGTTTTTAATACCATCTGTTAGGAGCCATATTGAATACAATTATGAATTCAGTTTGGTATTTTTAAATGCTGAATAAATTACTTCTCAGAGTAAAGCCACAAGGTTTTAGATTTATGGCATTTTGTGACATAGCAAAAGCATGAAAAGGATTTCGCAGCTAGGCCTTCAGGTTCTCTTTGCTAATACATACTGACTGATGCCAGAGTTCAGAGCACAGTAACAAAGCAAGGTCATGCAAGATACACATACTTATGTGAACTTAAAAAAGCATATTTAATCACCCACATGAGCATAGAGGTAAGAACAGAGCACACCATGGGGGTAGGGAAAGTGCCCATGGGGATCTGAGGTAGGTTGCTCTGACCTGAGACAGTTCAAGTATTTCCTGTGTGGGATTTCCTTGTGCTATACTCAACTACCAGTGAATTTCAGTAGAACATTTGGAATAAAAGCAGTTAAGATCTTGGGAAGACTTTAGTGGGCCAAAGAAATTATTGGACTTTTAGAAGTTTGTAGTTTTAAAAATTTCAAAGTATTGAACTTAATTTTTCTCTTCCATAGCAATCTTGTTCATTTCATATTTTATAGCTGACACAGTATATACATGAAATATTCTTAGTATTACATCAGTCATATCCTTCAAACCTGAATGATAGGCTTTGCAAGTCTAGGTAGGAAATTTATTTCCCTTGAAGCCTTTCTTTCAGCAAAAACTCTTGCATAGATTACATTATTTAATACAGCATGAATGAGGTATACAATATACACTAGCAGAGGCTAATATTTAAGGATGGCAAAGGTTTTTAAAGGGTTAAAAGGAGCTAATTTGCTTTTTATTGGTTTGATGATAAAAGCCTGTCATTTGGACAGGACAAATGTTTGCTGTTTTAGATGGTGGAGGGATTTTTCCATAGCAACCACCCTTAAGATCTGCCTTCAGACTTGCTTGGGATTGCTTTTGTGATCTCTGTGGCATTCTTTTACGTGTAACACATCGTCTAATATCTGCTCACCAGCTATACAGACAGATGGGAGCAGTGCCAGTCCAGGAGAGGAGTAGTCTGGGCAGGTGCAGCTGGCATTTCTTAATAATGGCAGGTTTTCTCCTTACCTCCTCAGCTGTCCAGTATCTGCAGAGCAGCATTACATGCTGGGGTGGTTCGAAATCATGGTGGTTATGTTGATGTTATGCCTGTGGACAAAAGAAAGGTGTACACCGCTTCTTTTCAGAATGGGATCTTTTCAGAAAGGTAAAAATAAAGCAATATACATTTATGTAAATTTTTAACATATGGTCTATCTTGTTATTCCCAATTGCTTTCCAGCAGACTGTCCTTAGGGTGGGTTGTAAGTGATGTGGCTGAGTCTAGTGTTTCCTTTCACACTGGTGTAACAACTGGTCTTCCAGGGATGGGAAGAGCTGCAGTACCAGAGGTGCCTGTCTCCTGCAGGCTTATAAAAATCAACATGAAAATCTGATTATGAGTCAGAAGCACTCTTTTGTTAATTGATCTCATAATTAGGAAATTTCCTTTATCCTCTTTTGAATTTTCTAGATTAGTTTACATATTCTTTCTAAGAGAGCAAGGCACTGAATATTTCTCTAATCCAGTGATCTGACAAAGTATTCGACAAAAACAGTGGGTTTGATTTTCCCTAGAACCAAATTCTCGTTTTATTGGGAGTTGGATGCCTAGCCTAGTGTAAAATGACCTTTGAGTTATCTAACAGTTTAATTTACTACTGCTATATATTTTGGTAATCTGAGGACATTCACATGATTCACTTTATCAAGTGTTAGTATGCATTAAGAGAAATGAACTGTTAGTGATTTTTTAAAAAAATCATTGGTCATGGATGTACTACTAAGTTTTATTTATTGGTGCATAGATACAAAAAAATGCCTTTTAGATATTTCTTATGTTCTTCAAAATTGCCATGGGAGGATTCACACAGCTAATAGTTTCTCTAGAGAACAGCAAAAATGCACTTTCAGGGTACCTAGATTGTCTTCCACATACTATCTGGATGTCATCTCACAAAAAGATCTACATTTAGCATCTGTTTTTAGATGGGATTATGTCAAGAGGCTGATGTTAAGAAAGTTACTTTTCTGTAATTTGGCTTATGGCTTGGGTAAGCAGATATGACATATAAAATGGACTATTGAGTTATAGAACCTGATATGGCCTTTTAATATCTAAACTAAGTGATGTTGTTCATTTACCTGTCATACATCTTAAGTTTATTTTAAAACTGTGAATTGATAGATGGTATCTCAAAAAATGAGAATAATAACTATTTCTGGGTACCTACGATGAATATTTCAGACACTAAACACTACAAGACTCTTTTAAGTATACTAGCTCAGATGCATCAACAGCCTAATAATCTTGTTTGCATAAAGCTTAATTTATATATGTGTTAACTGAGGCTAAAATGGATTAAATATCTGGTGTGCTCAAGATCATGTAATTTAATGAATCTCGGAGCTTAGGTTTAGCAATAGGTCTGGGGGCTCAAAGATACACATTTTTCCAAGTATATCACTGTGTACAAAGAAGAAACACACCAGATGCATTCACTTCCTGGGGATTTTAGTCTGTTTTCCATAAATAAAAGCAACTTTAGATTGCCATCCACTTGTATGAAAAACCTGGCCTGTGTGTGTGTGTGTGTGTGTGTGTGTGTGTGTGTGTATTTCCATTTTAGTGAAGAAATTCTTAGGTCCTTCTAACTTTGTCCATTAAATTTCCTCACTAACATTTTTTGAAACTGTAGATGTTAAGAACTAATAAATTAGATAATTTAACTTTGTCAAACATAGAAAATGATAGTAAGCTAGTACTCCACAGTGTTGCTTAAATATCAGCTATCTTTTTAGTTGGAGTTAATTTTTGACTATGTAAATCAGTCTTGAACTTGAGTCTCAGCAAACTCCACCCACCCCCCCAGTGAAATAGAATAACAGCTGCCTAACTCTATTTTGTTAGACTCAAAGGAGGTAACACATGAAAGCATGGTCTATAATCTGTGAAGTTCTATAGACTACTATCATTTCTTTTATGCATCTCACATTCCTTTAGTAAACTTGCAGTCCAGAATACAACCAAGATATAAAGAATTGTGTCATCTCACCAGAGCTTTCCAATAGCTATAAATTATAGTCACCTATGAAAGTTGACCATCTGGATTCATAGCACCACTTTCTTGGCTGTCATAAGAGAGCTTGATTTATTAGAAGGATTATATGTGCAGATGACATCAATATTTTTTTTGTATTTTTGCAGTTTACAAAATCCTCCAGGAGGAAAGGCATTCAGAATATTTGCTGTTGTGTGAAGTGGAACACTTGGAAGGGGATCAAAAAGACTATTCCAAATGCCATATTTCTGAAGTTTGTATAAAACTGTAACATTATTGTACAGAAGATAGCAACTATTTTCAGTCCCCCAGGAATGACAAATGCATATAAATCTTGATAGACAAAGTCTATAAACTAAAACATGGGACATTAGGTTTGGGGAAAGTAATGAATATGTAATGGTTTTAGAAATCCTGTGTTAAATATTGCTATATTTTCTTAGCAGTTATTTCTACAGTTAATTACATAGTCATAATTGTTCTACATTTCGTATAGTATATGGTGCTTTGTATATACCACTAATAAGGCAAGTCTAAACGGTGAATGTGAAGGGCCCTCAGAAAATTATCTGGTACATTTAACAACAATCAATTTTAAAATTGAAAGAAACTTTTTAATCATGTTTTCCCCAATCCAATGCTATGGTGTTACCTACTCTCAATCTTAAATTGTTTTCCACTTAGTACCTATTCAGTTTTCCTCTTTTGTTAAGTTTAGGTGTATGGATTCTTAAGTTCTGATTTTGCACTTGTTACTTTGTATAAAATAATCCTCGAATGTCCAAATTAACCTGTTAAAATATTTTGCTGCTTTGGAATTGTCTTAACAGTAAATGGAATAAAATCAAAGTAGTGATGTGAATATATTCCTAGTGATCATACAGTTAATATGAGTTTAAGTATGAACAGCCAGAGCTTTCTACATATTGTTAAAATTGAGGTCAGCATTTTCTTTTGTATCCTGGCACATACTCCTGCAGGCCAGGAAGTATAATAGTAAAAAGTCTAACAAAGATGAACTGATGTACTGCATCACCACTGCCACTGAGTTTCATGACGGCAAATGGCGCTGTGTATAAATGTTGCCATATTATGGTACTTATACTGGTGGTATATTTGTTTCTATGAAAAATGTATTGTGTTTGAGACTAAAATCCTATAAAATGTTACTTTTGGTACTTTTTTCTGATGGTGAATTTATCCATTTCCTATAAACATATTAAACTTAATCATGTTTTAAAGGATTATTTTTAGCTCCCTTTGCATGGATGCTTTAATTTTGAAATTGTTTTGACATAAATGAGCACAATTGATGGAAGTCTCAATTTGACTTACTGACATTAATATAAATAACATTTTAAACCAGAAGTCTTCAAAGTCACCCTAACTGTTTAGGTATTTTTACATGGAAGAGAAAACAGTCTTATATTTTGAAGTATTATAACTAGAGAAAATTTGAGTAAAATCAGAGATGAATTTATAAAGCAGAAGAATCTGAAAAACAAGTGATTGGAATTATAGAAGAATTGATAAGGCAATAAATATTTCAAGTGTTTTCAGAAGGTGGTTAGGAGCAGTTAAGAGGGAGATAAGTTACAGTCAGGGATTAGAGAAAGCAAGAGAGTTGGGCATGAAAAAGAGACAAAAAGGAAGAAAAGGTAGATTCACAAACATAGCTGCAGAAAAGCACTTTTTGAATAAACAAAATTTCGTGATCACCAGTCAAGAATTGACAGGCAGTTACATGGTTCAAAATACAGGTAATAAAAAGTGATACATTAAAAATTTCAAACCTTAAAATAGATTGTGTTAGAACAGTTTTTCCAAGACTTATATTACCATCTTCTTAAATAGTGTATGTATAACTATCCAGATTTGTCTTCTGTTCCTCACTACTTCATCCTCACCAGGGAATCCCCCTCAGTCTGTCAGTTATAAGGCTTTTAAAATTTATCTCTATCTCCATTGTTAATTTCTTATAGTGTTACAATGTCTCAACCCAGAACTTCTTCATTGTGTCCTCTATTTCTTTCAGTGCATATTAATATTTTCCCAAAGGAATTTCTTGCATTTCCATTGCTTAAGAAAATCCAACCCCATCATAAAAGCACTTAAGAACCTTCATGGTATTGTTTATATGTATTTTATACAAGGTGTGACCTTGCGTAAGTTATTTAACTCTGTTCTTCTGTTACCTCACCTGTAAAATGGGATACATGATGTGTCAGGGAGATTAATCTAAGATTTGAGACATGCTGTACAATATACTATGAAAAGAATATTAAACACATCATGTGTAGTCAGTATGTAATAGTTTTTATTATCATTATTTTTGTGATTATTTACATTGGGCAAAACTATGCACCTATTGTACTATGCTGTTGATCATTTGATGGTTCACCAAAAGTGAAATCCTCCATGAATTTTCCTGTAATTCTCCTGATAAGAATTAAGTGCTATCTATATAATGACCTTTTAATTTGACTACATTAATTTATAAATTTGCCTTGTGTTGTATTTAGTTCTTCAAACTTTTATGTATAAGCTCCTTGAGAGGAGCATAAGAACACAATTATCTGAGTGATTTTTACTTAGTTAGTGGGTGGGTCTGTGTAGTTGAATAAATATTCCAACAATTCCTGATTTTATTCTTGATAACACGCACTTTCTTTTTAGCAGAATTGAGTTTGAATTCAAAACTTTGTGCTTGCTGGGCAAGTGCTCTACCGCCTGAGCCATTCTGCTAGCCCATAGGTGAATATACTTACACATCATCAGAATGGAATGTCAACACTAAGATAAAGTAGTATAGCTAATGAAAATGATAGACATCTGTTTGTAGATTTAAAACAGGTCCATGCTAATACAATCGTAGTAACATCATTATTTTTAGCTTTTAAAGTTAACTAAACCATATCTTAATTTAGTTTTCTTTATCTATTAAAAATAATCTCTGCATTTCAAAGAAGAGAAATTTGTCTCTTAATCTGTTAGATAATTTTCATATTATACTGCTCACTTTTCCATTCAATATTGTACCTAAAAAAACCTTTACTGTTCTTTATCATTTCTACAATGTTTTTAGAAGGAATGTTACCTCTTCTTAATTTATGTAGTAAGATAAGCAAAGAAACAAGCTGTCATTTTTGTGAACATGCCACACTTCAGATTTGGAGTTTAAGCAAATTTATTGCATAAAGAATTACATTGTTTAAATTGATTTTAAAAACTTAGCTAAGGTGCTATTTCCACCCAGGCACCATAACATTCAGGAGCTGAAAAAATAAGTTTAGTGAAATAATCTGATCCTCTTTCATTAATTTGTTGGAAGTAAGCTAAATTATATCACTTTTGAGATTTTCAAAAGGCAGGCACACTCTTTATAACTCAGCTATAACATCTAAACAATGAAATAGTCTTTATTTTTACTTATTCTTCCAATTCTTAAGTCACACCGAACAAAACAATCAGTGTGTAAAACAATGCTGACAATTAAATATCCTTTAACTAGTTCATTAAGTTACAGAAACCAACTTTTCTACAACAACAAAATATTTTCTAATTAAAGCCATAATAGTTGTCAATTTCATTTATGCCTACATTCATGAAGATGAAAAGCAGAGGGCTTACATAAGACTTGTGGATAAACTCAACTTTAAAAAAATATGTACAGAAGATGATGTAGGAATCAAAGATGTATATTTAAAATGCATGAATTAATTTAAACTATCATTAGAAATGCTAAAACACAGCCTGATTGAGTCCTTAAGGTAAAACAAATAAGATTTTTAAAAAACCTATATGACAATATAATCAGAAACAAAAAAAGAAACAAATAATGGCCTCTTCTGAACCTTTTTTCAATGCTTTCATTCATTTGAAAAATATCGAGTTTCTTAAATCTGCTAATCACTGTAGATAAGCTAATAAGCAAAAACGTCCTCAGGAAGTTAGAGTCTAATGAGAGACATATTATTTAGGTTATAATACAAATACATGATAGCGGTGGGACTGCATAACTACGAAGATAATACCACAAGAGTATTGATAAATGAGACTTTACTGGGTAGGGGACAGAGCAAAAAATAATTTTCCTGAGGAATTGGCATTAAAGCCTAAATTTTAAGGACAAAAAATAATTTTCTTGAGGAATTGGCATTAAAGCCTAAATTTTAAGGACAAAAAATAATTTTCCTGAGGAATTGGCATTAAAGCCTAAATTTTAAGGACAAAAAATAATTTTCCTGAGGAATTGGCATTAAAGCCTAAATTTTAAGGACAAAAAATAATTTTCCTGAGGAATTGGCATTAAAGCCTAAATTTTAAGGACAAGAAGAGACGAGAGAGGGGGAGATTCCTTGCATTAAAAACAACGCAAAAAATCCAGAATGTGCAAATACTTTATTGCAAGAACATTCTAGAAACAATAGCAGCTAAAAGTCATGTGTCTTGAGGGCAGAGAACAAGAGATGTACTGTGTACGTCTGGACCAGTAAGTGAAGGCACAGAAAAGGTGGGACACAATCTCTCTAGGGACAAAATACATGCTTGGAGCTCAGAGATGACCCCATGTTCAAAAGACAAGTATTCAGAGTTTGAGCAGAGAAGCAAAAGTATTCAATACATTTTATCAGTCTTAGTGTTTTATAGAACTTTACAAGCAGGTACTCGATTATTATGTGATTAATACATCTATAAGCAATGGATTGCAGATGACTGAATGTGGGACACAGGGAATAATGTGCTGAGCAATAAACAATGTGTTAGAAAAATGTGCTTCATATGCTATTTGATTCTCATAACAGACCTGAGAGACAAGATTGTGTTCCCATTCCTGGAACACTGATTCTAAAGGACTGAGCAATATTGTCTAAGGCTTTGAGCCTGAATGATATAATTCATCTCTCCATTTCTCTTAAATCAAAACCCTTGTTCCAGCTAGTAGGCCACTCCTGATAGACATTTCCATGGGAACTGTGAATAACTTCACTAGCTTCTCCCACACCAGGCTTGGAAATACTCTTATCTAAAATTTTATAATCCTGAATATACCATAAGTTTGCTAGATATAGAAAGATTATAGAAAAGGAACAGAGATTTCACTTTCTGTAGAAGTGGCCTATAAAAAAGGTTAAAAAGAATACTGGTTAAGAGAACATTAGAAAAGCATGAAGTTTGTGTTCCATAAATTTTGACTTAGTGGAATACTTTTTCAAAGGGATAGTAGACTGAATTACTCCCCCTCCAGCAATTCATGGGAAGGAAAATAAAAAGAAAGACAAACTTGCTCACAGATGAATCAATATCCTGAAAATAGACAGCAGCTGGAGTCATACTGATAATTAATTCAGAGCACATACCACCTCCACTCAAAGAAGGTAATGGTAGAAAAGAGGCCTTTTTATGGAAAATCCACACACCAAGTGATTGGAGAATCTGCTTTCTTACTTCCAGTCAAGTGGCCTCCCCACTTTCAGTCTTTACTCTTCAGCCTCACCCTCCCCACCTACCTTTAAATTAGTCCAAATGATCAATATGCCACCAGATCCACAAAAGCCTTTAAGTGAGGCCTCCATCATCCAGGCAACAGGTGAACAACAAGAGATTCCTGTGTTAATTGATCTAGCTCTTCAGACATGTATGTGAAGACCAAAAGGTCATCCAACAAAAGCACAAATAAGAAAGCATCATGTCAGCGGACACTAAAAGCAGCATGTGTTGCAGAAAACAGCACCTTCATGAATATTATGAGTAATATCCTTGGACGAGTCTGGAAGACAGACTACTCTGGAAAAGAAATAATCAGAGAACAGGAAAAGTACCAGATTTTGGAAGAGATTAAAGGAGTGAGCTTTCAGCTGTTCAACTCTTAAGAAGTGAACAGTTGTGATCTGGACTAGAAGTGGGAATTTTAAAAAAGGCATAGAAGTAGAAGGCAAACTTTCTTATTAAAGATAAAAATATAGTCATCTGCCTCCATGATAACTAATGTTACCAACTATAATCATGTAATTAAGAATAAACCATGACACAACATTGAGTTTCTAGTGAGACATTTTGTCTTTGCATTTTCTAGTTTGCTATAAGTTTTATTAAACTTCTCTTAGATATAGTTTGCTTCTATGTGATTGCAGAGTGGTAACTTCTTTATGGCACTGATATGAGAATTAAAGAACGTAGCTGAAATTGCTTAGCGTTTGTGAACACTAGTTAATTATAAGTTACACATACATAAATATATA